TGGGAGGTGTCCCTGCCAATGGCAGGGGAGTTGGAACTAGATGATCTTTAAGGTCCTTTCCAACCCAAACCATTCTATGATTCCTAACCACCAGATAGGACTAAGCACAAATTCCTCACAAATAGAAATACCATGTTTTGGACTGAAACATCAGAATTGTCCATGGTTGACATAAATCAAGATCACAGGTATTTTCTTTTTTGAAGAAAAGTTCTTACTTCAGTGTTTAGCCATTGTTTCTTAAGGAAGGCGCTGAGTGTCCTCTGCTTCTCCTCATCCTCTTGAATCACCAGTTTATAAATAAATTTCAGTGACTACAGATTAAATATATATTATTGCATTAATTTCTATTAACTAAAATGAATGTCTAGGAATGAAAAAGCTATACTAAAACTGAATAAGAGCTTTAAAAAGTTTTGATAGAAGAATACTAATTCAACTGGTTTAGTTTGGCATTATGTGTATAGATCAAATTTATAATGCAGTAATTCAGTATGTATTTCTAATAAAAAGGCAATGAAAATAAATGGAAGATGGTGATTTCATTAGATATATGAATGATGCATCAGGATATACATTTGGGTTACATAATACCATCAATTAAAAAAAAAAAAAACTGACTATGGATATCAGCTAGAAAATTGTACAAGCAACAAGTTTTTCTGTTTCTAGGGAAAGGGATCCTAACTGGATGGATAAGAGCTTTGTCCATCAAAATAACTTTTTAATGAATAGATTTTGCTTTCTTGACTAAATAAAACCCAGACTCTTTTCAACTCAGGTTAGGTAATGGAGCTCATTCAAACAAAAATGGAAAATTTGTTTTAAGGAACTTGTCATAAAAGGAACTTTACTATGCTCAAAGCTGTCCAGAAAACAACTCCTTGCTTAGTGGTCACATCATTACCACCAGGTCTCATGTCATTCACAGTAGAGGAGATGTCATTTAATTCCCTCTTCACCCTGAAGGACCTGCAACTGCACCACCCAGACGAGAAGTAAGAGCTATCGGTGAAGTACTATTTAAGAGTGAAGCATCCTCTGGTTTGTGTTTTTTATTTTTGGAGCTTACTTTGCACGTACTGCTTCAAAGAGAGTGTGAGCTCCTAACCCACAGTTGGTGATAAGAGGTGGTATCTCCTACCAGAGGAGGTGGTTGGAGGGAATACCCCAATTGCTTGGCAGCAACCTAAAATAGCAGATTATTGGCCTCGTTTAGTGGTTTTGTGAAATCATTTCCTTGGGTTTGTTTATAGTATCTGAAAACTAACCAGAAATATCACAACATTTTAGATGTTTCATGAGACAAACTGTTTTGACATTTTCAAAACTTTATCATTTTCATTTAATCTAACGCTATTTTTTCCCAATTCAATTCAAATTCAGAAAGCATCAAGTACAATCTTCTTGCTACGTTTGTAGCAACCCCCCACCCACTCCAAATTTTCACAAGTCTAGTCAACAAGATTGCCCTACAAAGATCCAAAGCAGAGTTTGGTCTAAATAATAAAATCAGTCACACCTGTTATGTACATAATAATTATCAATAACCATCCATCAAAAATTGTTCCTCTCTAGACTGTTTTTTCCTGTTTCTCTTCAGTTTCCACATATCATCTCCAACAGTTATCTATCTTTACATATAATTTTCATTTTCTTTCCTCTGCTTTCCCTTCCTAGTAGCAAGGCCCAAATGACTTTGATCTCCCCTATCACTGTGATTCTCTTTAGGGTTCACCAGTTTATAGTGTTCACTCTTCTAAGAAAATTAATATCTAAATAGAAAAAAAAACAACAAAGGAAACTTAAATACCATGGGAAGAAAGCCGCCACTTTTCATGGGGAGACGATTAATGTTAGGTCCCTTTTCAAGATTATATGTGTCAAAAAATGGATTTAGCTTTGGGTTGTCTTCACTGAGATATTATGCCTTTATTTACTGCTGTGCAGTGATGACTTACCTCCTTGTGAACTGCTTGAATGAGAAGTGCCAAGCACAGCGGCCATGGAGCCACCAAAAGCAGAATGGAACCCACTAACAAGCAGAGACCTTGTGCATGCAGACAATACCACAACTCTGCCCCAGCCCGGAGTTGGAGGAAGATATGAGTTGTTCTCAAAGCTTATCAGCCACATCTTCTGTGTGTGTGACATGACGAAACACAGTATGTATCCTTAAATAAGGCGTGAAACAAGGACCTTGATAAAAACAAACAAACAAAAGCAGTCCCTTGAGAGCCCATCCTACCCCTCACCCCCGTTTCTCCCAGATGCAGGGCGGTCATTCACAGCAATTGAGATTTTGGCTGTACCTCAAGTGGAGTTTTTGACCTCAGCATTAGCATAATTCATATCCCAAGCTCCATTTTAGTCCTACATATGCACCATGTTCTCCTTCCCTTAGCAATGCTTCTCTCCCACAAGAACAGCTGGGTACATTTCTACTTTTCAACGGCAATCGCTCCAGTGAGCAATTTTTCCTCCCACAAGACAGCAGCCTGGAGGCAGATGTCCCTCCACCACCATTTCCAACCCACCAGGGTCCCTCACAGTTACAGGGGCTGGTGACCCATGAGGCAGCCCGGCGGGCCCCTCGCCCTGGGGAAGGCCCTGGCCTGCAGGACCCCGCTTTGCCCTCTTTCCCCTCTTCCCTCACCCCTGAGGGAGGACGTCCCTTCAGCCAGGAATGGCTTTAACACACCTCGCCCTGCCCTGGGGCCCTCTCTCTCTGCCCAGCATCTGTCAGTGAGTCCCCTCTGGTGGGACAGCGACAGTGACAGGGTCAGGGTCAGTGCTTGCCCCTTGGCCATCATCTTGATCCCCAACCCTACCCTGATGGCCACTGGGGCAATGTCTGGGTTGTTCAGTGGCTGAAGGCCAAGGCAGGTATGGCAGCAGGGCTGGCAGGAGGGAGGAAGTATTGCTTTCATCAAGCCTTGCCGGGCTCTGCCCAAGAGCTGCCATGGTCCTCGGTGGGCTTCAGTTGTGGACTTCGCACCCCCAGGGCACGCTCCCTCACACAGCCTCTGAGGGAGAGACGCCACGTTGCTCAGGTATGAGAAATTTTGCACTAAATAAGGGCATGTTTCAAGGCAATACATGTAGCAAGAAATTCTTAGATCTGAGGGTTTTTTTCCTTTTCAGTTACATTTTTTATTTGTTGAATTCTCTTCCAGAAAAATCATCAGTGCTATATACAGCAAATGCATGCATCTGCATTTACATAAGTTTGTATCCTACTCTCGCCTAAGTTGCTATTCAGTCATGATAAATACATGCAATCTTTATCACACCTGGTACTGGTATTTAAAACCCTCACGCTGCCCTGTAAACAAAGATGGATTGCACCGGCCAAGTCAGTACTAGATTTGTGTCATGTCATATCAATGCCCTTCCTCAAGGGATCCTCAGCTCCAGCACTCTCCTTCTTAACCCTTTGCATTGCCACTGAACAATGTGGTTAGTGATCCAAGCTCCGCTGTCTCTTCAGCCATGAACTTAAAAAACCCCAAACCACTAAGCTAAATAGCAAGCTGAAAATTGCATGAATTTACACAGCTCTAGGAGTGTAACATCCCACACAACAACAAATGCAGGCACCATCATGGCTTATGCTTCCCTTGCAGGAGAACTGCAGAAGACTGGTAGGTACTTCAGCAGACTGCAGTGCTGCTCCTCTTCTCTCCTCCATCCTGCCCCTCTGCTCTCTGGCTCCTACTCTCTACCTCACCATCCCACCGTGACTGCTACAGTGTGGTGACACTCACTCAAGGAGCTAAAGATCCACTGAGGATTTGCTGAAAATTCATGGCTAGGTAAAACTAATAGCATTTATTATAAATATTCCTATACTCATAGTGAATCAAATGCTGACTCAGTAAAAATTCTGGCTGAATTAAGTCAGATTCTGGTCTTATTTTTAGATACAGGCCTTAATAATTTCTGAAGTTAATAAAGTAAATTTCATATATGCATATTTGTGCTAGTAAATCCATTCCTAAGGGAACTTTGCTAATGGTACCTAAATACCAAGAAATGCATCAAAAAGTGTTGGAATAATTGCAGTGCTGTACAGTTTGTTGCCATTTAAAAAGTGGAGTGTGAACTTCAGCTAGAAACAACTTTTCACAAAGAGATGTTCATTAGTTTTTCAGCTTTGATGGGTTCCAGCACCTGAATCCTGTGCCAAATGAAGAGAAGAATCTCTTGAGCAAAGCTCCATTCTCTTTTGAGAAGATAATCTCAGGAGATGTCAGAAAATCTTTCTGTGGATATTTCAGTGTTCTTTTTAATAATTATCTTTTTTTTTCTAAGATTCTCTTTAGTGGACACATCACTGTGGGGTTTGACCACCTTCAGCCTTGGTATAAGCAACTCCTGATAAGCAGGTGGACTGTAGAACTGGGCAAAGATTTATGAGACCTAACACCTAAGCTCAGCAATGTCAGCAGCCTTGAGTCTGTTTCTTCATTTATCTGTTTGCTTTCCTTGTGCTTTGCTCAAAATGCCATGTCTTTAGGTTAACGTTGTCACAGTGTGATCTCTCTGCAACAAAAGCACAGTGGAGACCTACACTTAAGTAGGATTTCCAGGTAGAAGTAGTGAACAGAAACAATATAAATGTAAGCAGAATGAGCCTAGACGTAATCTGATCCATTTACTTAACAATTTGGGGATATTTCAGTGATGTAGGACAGATGAGATGCAATTTTTCCTTAAAAAACAAGGAGAGCTCTGCTGTAAACTTCTCTTTTCTCATAATTCTAAGAGAGTGCACTTTAGAAGAGCTTGAGTGTTAAGAGAGGTGAATAAGATTTAGGTTTTCCACTGGACAGTGTTATTCTTTTATCCTAATTCTTTTCCTGAAAGAAGTTGTAGATCATGGTATCTCCCTTAGAGGTGCAGAGAAGCCCAAAGGACTTGCTGTCACAGGCACAGTGCCACTGGTTTGAGTTGCTCGGTGAGAAGAGTCCTTCAGTAATAATGTTGTTCAAATTGTATTATATAGTAAAAGAAGATCCATTGTCAGTCAGAATTTCACTAGTCTGTCTTGATTGATAAACATCAGAGTTTGTCCTTGAACCACGTTTCTTGTATTTCTTGTATCTCATGCACCATAGGTCCTTCATTATCTTCACGAAATAACTTCTGAACTTCACTCCAATAAATGCATAGAGCACAGGGTTCACGCAACAGTGTAAAAATGCTATGGCTTCAGTGGTGTATTTCACATAGGCCAGTATCTTTTCATTGTCACAGGATTTGTCTGTCTTGCCCATATTTATGGCTGTCACAAGAAGAACGATATTATAAGGTACCTGGCAAACTAGGAAAACAGCTACAATTAATACGATGACACGGATTGCTTTGTTTCTTTTGGAATTCTGAGCTTGTTGTAAGGATTTGACTATGAACGTATAGCAAAAAAACATGAATATGAAAGGTATAAAAAATCCAAATCCAACTTGTAGATACAGCAGCACTGATTTTGGTACTGTGCTCTCAGACATGCGAAATTTCTGATCACAAATCTTTTTGTTTTCATTGGTGGAGAAGCCATAACTTTCATTATATAGAAAAGAGGGGCTAGATATTAAAATTGATGATACCCACACAGCCAAACAAATGAGTTTACTATATGCGAGCGTTCTTGCCCTGAGTTTAAATGACTTTGTTGCCTGTACGATGGCAATGTACCGGTCCACGCTGATAAAGGCCAAAAGCAGCATTCCACAGCTGAAGTTGATTGCATAGATACCTCTGGTCATTTTGCAAACGAAATCACCGAAAATCCATTCATCAGCAGCATAATACACCGCCCACAGTGGGAGAGTGAGAACAAACAGTATGTCTGCTATGGCCATATTGAGGAGGTACACATCCGTCATGGACTTGGTTCTCTCATATAAAGCAAAGGTCATCACTACGAAGATGTTACCAACCAGGCCGAGAATACAAATCAATGAATACGCAACTGGCAGAAACACTTTTGTGAACTTCCTGACTTCCAATTTAGAACAGACTTCTGTGATTTGAGAAGCATAGTCTGAATTATATAGATCACCTGAGGAATAAAGCTCTGTCTGTAAAAAAGAAGATCACCAGTTAGCACATAGGTGTTAATCTCTACTTTCTATATAGAAGAAAGATGATATATAACAAAGACAAATACAAGATACTTTGGAAATCTTTTGAAAATTAGTATACAAGTATATGGCTTGCTGATTTGAAACGGAAGTGATGTTTTCCTTACTATAACTGTAATACTTCTGTCCAGTCCTTCCTACCCCTCAGCTGTAAGCCTGTAACAAATTTATCTCAATATAGTCCACATCAGTGTTGTTTCCTCCAATGCTACATGTCTTACACTGTTTCTAGTAACCACACACCGCAATTACAAATGCATTTAACACCGCACAGGAAACTTGTAAGAACTAACTATTGAATTTCATAAAATCTTAATTTAAATACAAACATGGAGATAATCTTTTTGGGTGCCGGAAGGTTTCCATCTTTATGTACATTATGCAGAAAGGCCATAGTCTGCCATCACAGAAGACTCTAAACAGTAAAAGTCTGAATTTGAAGTAGGGATCTAGACTTCCTTTACCATCAAGGGAGGGGAACAGGCCTTTCTAGCATGTTACACATGCCCCAAAATTATTACTTTTCTCCATTCAGCTAGACAAGCAATCCAGGATGAGTAGCCTGAGACACAGTTGCCTGCACCACAGACACCAAACCTGTAGTTGCACTAGGAGGGTTACAAACCCAATAAATAGTGTGCTTTGGCAGTGAACTCTGCTGTCAGAAACATCTCTTCAGCTAATCACTCCTGAGATTGAGATACTAATATAGTTTATCAAAGTACTTACAAAATTCATTTTGGCAGTACACTTCTCAGAAAAAAAAAATATGTTGAGAACTTCAAAATACTTTCCCAAGAATTTCTGAAACAAAAATAAAGTAGATTAGATTGGGAAACCAGCACAAGAAATATGAGCAAGCAGAAAAACACTTAGATTCAACACATAGTATATTCAAAAAAGAATCTCACCACTTCAACTACATCAACAATCACAGGAGCATCTCAACAAATCACACATCTCTGCAGCACAACTTGCAGTTGTGGCAAGTGGAAGGTTTGTATCACTATCATTAAGAGCACAATCTTACATATGGACTGTTCATTCATAGAGTTAATAAACAATATATGAGAATATATGACTCTTACTTCACATTGACTTTGCACCACAAGAAATTAGAGTAAATTAGATTTTACTTTCATAAATTCTGAATGACAATGGTAATTAGTGTATTTAATGAAATGTGGAGCAAATAAACAACAGTACCTTAGTATTCTGCATAACAGCACTTTAATTTTTTTTTTTTTCACTCTGGCATCTGTGTGTCTCAGCACCTTTGATATCAGGTTAGTTGCCCTTTTTTATTATACTACTGAGGTAAAATAAGGTTGCCTGGATAATTGTTTCTTATAGCATAAAGGATATTACACAAAATATGAGCAGACTGAGCACTAGTGTTATTTCATCTTTGTTCAGTGCACAGACCTTTCTTAGAGACTGCAGTCTATGAAAATAATTTATTTTCTTTATCACTGGGATACCTAAGTATTTTTAGAATGGTAATTCATTAATTTGCACAACAACCTGTGATGAGGAGGTATTATTATCTATGTTTTACAAGGAAGGACTGAGTCATTACAGTATGCATCCACTTGAGATGTTCATTTTGAGACACCTGTCCCCTCCTAACATCACTTTTAAGAGTGCTTAGCATTATGAAGGACTTCAGTTATGTAATGGATTCAGTCCCTTGACTCTGGTTGCAGCCAGGCTCAGACTTCTGCAAATCAGACCACAGTCTAAAAACCGGGGAACGTGTTGTTGGTGGCCACATGCGCAAAGCTGGGCTTAAATGACTTGTTTAACCTCACACAGGAACCCATGGGCAGGAGATTTAGTTCCTTGGCATTCCCCTACATGAGTTCAGTCCTTTCCGTTAGCTGCTCCGTGAGAACAGCACATACCAGCAATGCAGCAATTGCAGGGACTGGACGACCTGAAGTCCCATATTTGCTAAGTCTGTGAATGGGCAGCTTCATTTAGAGCTTCTCTGCTTTTTGTTAGTTGAGATGCGCATGGATCAACTTTAAGGCTAGACAAACAAATCCTTCCTGTTTGGGAATTACCTGAATTTTGAAAGAAAGAGACAGATAATCTGTAAAAGTGGGGCAGATGCAGCCCAGATATAACTGGTAAGTTGGGGGAGGGAAAGGACTGAACACTCTCCAAAAGCATAATGAGGATGAGGCTCTCTGTGACTCATGTGGGGAGGCTGGCTCTTGGCAGAGGGCTGCAGATGAGTAAAGACCCATAATATATGATGTTGCTTAAGCATCACAGCTTCTCTGGCTTTTCCGCCCTTTAAACAAATTTTTAACCACCTCTCCAGCTTCCTCTACTGATTTTAAGAAGTTGCAAGAATATGACAGCCTGAAAGCCCTTGAATACCTTCTGAAGCAAGCTTTAAACAGTTTGAAGCGTCTCTCAGAAGTGCAAAGACATATAAGGCAAGCAGGTAAGTTGTACAGTTCACCTGGGGCTGTAGTCCCCTAGCCCACCTTTGAGGAACTCTAGTCTCCATCTGCTGCTTTACCCTCCTCCTTTCCCCCAGCCAGCCAGACACTCATGCCGTTTCTTGGTGTTTCTCTTACCCTTCGCACTTGGCTGCAACTACAGTAACTCTTCAGTGAGACAGCACTGAAGTGGTACCTGTCTAGGTTATTATTTTAGAAACTGTTATTTCATTGTTGCAAGAAAAATACCTTCCTAGATATCTGTCATTCATACCTTTCCAGGACATACATGGTTAAAATATACAAACAGAGCCTGCCAGCATGTGTTCTCTACAAAACAGTCACTCTTCATTCCACTTAGCCAAAGCCACTCTCAAACATTAGTATAGGACATACAGAAGGAAAAAAACATGGTGAAGGCAGAAGAAAGGGAGCATGGGTTTCCTACAGCCTGCAAGGAGGGCTAAGAAAGGACATCTCTTCAGATTAGCACTGAAGAGGGGCTGTCTAGTCCTCAGAAGAGCTCAGCAGAAAGCCTCTGTAGGGAACAACAACAACTACTCATCATGGGAGAGCTGCGTACTCTCCCCGATACTACAGGAATTCACAAAGGGTCCACCAGTCACACATTTATTCAGAACAGGACTTCTACTGTCTGGCAAACGCTTCTTGAGGATGGTTTGTACAAGAGTGGTAGAGGAGGACTCAAACTGAAACCAGAACTGCAGAGATCAGATTTAGGACCTGATTTAAATCTCTTGAGCTGATTTCCTTCTCTGAATTTGAAACAGCACTCACTGAAGTTATTAAGAGGAAGTTGAATCAAAACTATAAACACAATTTTCTTTTCGATTTAAATCTTTCCAACAGGATTTCAATAGGCAACTTCATCATTTATAATCTGCGTATTTATGGATATATTTAGCATTAATGCATTAGGTATTTACAAAAACTAAATTTCCATATACATACATACAGGGGTGTGTATGTGTGTTGTAACATTGCTTATATACTACATATGGGCACCTGTCTATGCATGTGCACACAAACATACTTATGTTCTGAATATTAAATATATAAGCCTTGCATTTTTTAGCTTGCTATTTTTCCACTTTATCTACATTATCATATTTCTTTTCACTATGAAAGCAATATGTGACTACTCAAAACTAAGACTAAAACACAATCTTAAATAGAAATATATTGAGTTATACAAGCAACAGACAATGGATAAAGAAAGACCTCGACAAAGAGACAGATTTCTATAAGGAAAAAATTCTCAGTACTTGGAGGGAATCAATAAGTATTTTTTCAGTTTTGCCCACCAGTGTAAGTACTCTCCTACTTATGTGTTCAGTTTAATACATTCAACACACATATATACATTATAGATTTAACTATTTTATTTTAGTACTTACCAGATTTGAAAACTGCCAAACTGCTGAAGACCGGGTGAAAGAGGATGTGTGATTCTGTTACATTCTTTTGTGGCTACCTCAAGCACATCTACTATCAGTCTCAACAGGAGTACACTTTAATTCGAAAAACAAGAAATAACTGCATTAGCTAAAGGTACAGAGTTAAATTGAAATAATCACCACTTCCTCCTGACAAGCAGTAACAATAATCTGCTATTTTACGTAAAGGAAAATATTTAACCTTATCTGTGCTGGAAACATGCATGCTGGAGGAAAGTAATTTACTAATTAGGCTACCTATATAATGATACTAGTTTTTAAATAATCATGCTAGCATTAAAATAATAAAAAGCAGGGTGTTAATAGTCACTGTGCTCAGAACACATCCTGAATGATAGCCTATTTTTGTAAAGGGTGCACTTAATGTCACAGAGATGAGCAGTTTAATCATTGATCATATAAACAAGATCACTTAGAGTAGAACTGCAGAACTGAGACAAGAGTTAATCAACAAATTGAATAAAAGCTCTTTATCAGGAACAGTGTGGTGAGTAGGACCCGAGAGGTGATCATCCCCCTGTACACAGCACTGGTGAGACCCCACCTCGAGTGCTGTGTCCAGTTTTGGACCCCTTACCACAAAAAAGACATTGAGGTGCTGGAGCACGTCCAGAGAAGGTCAACGAAGCTGGTGAGGGGTCTGGAGAGTAAGTCTTATGAGGAGAGGCTGAGGGAGCTGGGGTTGTTCAGTATGGAGAAAAGGAGGCTGAGAGGAGACCTTATCACACTCTATAACTACCTGAAGGGGGGGTGTAGAGAAGCGGGGGTCAGTCTCGTCTCCTAAGTCACAGGAGATAGGACAAGGGGAAATGGCCTCAAGTTGCACCAGGGGAGGTTCAGATTGGATATTAGGAAAAATTTCTTCACGGAAAGGGTTATCCAGCATTGGAATAGGCTGCCCAGGGAAGTGGTTGAGGCACAATCCCTGGAGGTGTTCAAAAGATGGGTTGACATGGTCCTCAGGAAAATGGTTTAGTGATTTTTTTATTGCTTATTACTTATTTATTTTTTTGTCAGAGTTAGGCTGATGGTTGGACTAGATGATCTTTAAGGTCACTTCCAACCTAGACAATTCTATGATTCTAAGATTCTGAAAAAAAAAGAAAAAAAATCTGGTATACGTCAATGTGCAAGTTATCCAAGTGTTTTGCCTGAACTGCTAACACAAATGCAAATGCCCAGGTAAAGAAGGAAAATGCAATTGTATTTGCCTGTTTGGCACTAATATTTGCTGTTTGTGTGCGTGCTGCTCAGGTGTGTTGTTAAAGTTAGTTGGAACTAGACATGAACACATTTTATTTTATGATTCCTGAATTTTAAAAGCTATAAATGTTTCTCTTCCAGGCCTTAGTTTCTCATGACAACTCAAATGTTTGCATTAGCAGGAAAAGCAAAAACTAGTAAAAAACCCCTTCAGACTTCTTTTTTATTTTAGAAATTGTGTGTGTGAACATTCAGTTGCAGCTTGTGGTCTCATTAGAGACTCCAGATGGCATTAATAGAGGCAGCCTTGTAAGATATGATCAAATTAACAGAATGTTGGATCTAAAGAAATGCAGGGTGATAGATGTCATTTTCAAAACTGAGCGTATCACAATAGCAGTGGCTCCCGAGCAGCTTAAGTACGGTGCTGCTTTCCGCTAACCATAACCAGTGAGTGAAACAAAACCACTGCATAGTGTTAAATGTAACTCGGTAGATTTAAAGTATCATGTCATAATGGTTCCTAATCATTTAAGCAGCACATTTAATTTTCTTGATGGCTGATTTTCATAGGATCCAAGACCTTGACTTCAGCTGTGACAAAATCCCAACATATTTGCCTGGAACAACACAGAGATACTTAAAATCCCGGAAATGTGAGTCTCATTTTTTTCCTACATATGTGTGTGTGTGTATGTGGACACAGTGTATATATGTTTTCATCATTACTGCTGAAAAGCAATCTTCACTGTTTGATGCATACAAAGCAAAAAAAAAAGTGTGAAATCTATACAGATTGTGACTCAAATAACTTCAGTAGACTCACTATAAAATTACTTTGGCCTCCTTACTGCTGTTTGGACTAAACTAAATTCCCTGTCATCACAGCTCTGGGGAAGGTTATGATTAAATCCTTAATACTTAATAAAGTAGCTGAGCATTTGAAATACAGTTTAGCAACTTCCAGGTTACATGGAGGAAAGAAGATGTGTGAGCTTCAGTGCAAAGACAAGAGGTAAAGATAAAAGGCCAAGAGAAACAATTGTACCAGGTGACTAATATAACCTCCGTTCTAAATTTCTATTGATAAATCAAACTAGCAGCTGTACTTAGAGGACCAGGGTGCAGCGATGGTCAAAAGATAGATTCCTGAAAGCTGCAAGGATATTAAAGAACAAGTCATGAAGCAGATGTTCTTCTCCCCACGTGTCTGCATTTGGCCACCTTCAGAAGTAGGACGTGGAATTGAATGGACCTTTGGTCTGTGCGACAATTCTTGTGTGCTTAGCAGCTGCCAAGCGCAGCAGTGTATCCTAGCTGTCTGAAGCAGTCCAGATTTAGTAACTTGCAGCAGTTTCTGAAGGACACCTATGTTTTAGTTGGCCTATGAAGATGAGCAAGGAGAGCCCAGCTGTTGGTCAATGTGGGAAGGCAGCACAGAGGCAGGGGTGTGAGTAGGGAGGGTGCACGAGCAACGATGTGGGAGATGGTGCTAAACAACTGCACTGTATTTTGGTTTTCTACATTAAGATGATTGGCAAGGCGCCCAGACCTTGTGAATCTTTTGAGACATCCTTAATCACGATAGTGAAGTACTTTTCATTATATTATTTATTTTGTAATTCCTAAAAATTTCCATCATTAAAACTTTACAAGTTTTCAGTCCACCCTTATAACCTTTGCTAAGAGGGGCTTTAACTTTTTTTAAACTACATGTTTGTACTGTTTTGCTAACTCACTCTTATTTGCATGTCAAAATGTAGTAATGAAAATCATCCAATTAACTTGATTTAGGCTTAAGATGAGGCTCATAAGGTATTTTCTGGACTATCTTGGAAAGAAAACACAAACTTCATTTTTAAATCTCCCATCCCTCAACTGCTGTAAGGAATAACACATTTACTCTTGACAAGCTGAGGTGCAAATATTTTCTATAATAACCTAGATCCTGTTTGTGGAGAAGCCACTTTCTGTCTAAATGCTGTCTGAAGCAAAACACAGATTCCTGCTCACAGTGTCTGACATTTTGAAACATGGTCTCGAATCCTGTTAAAAACTGCGAATACAGAGTAGGAGCGTATTTTACGTTGGTAAAGGAATTTGACAATATTTCATTGTGGGCCTTTTAAATGCTTCTTTCTCATAACTTTGGGACTGAAGAGATGGATCTGTATCTTTCAAAGCAAACTTCATTACACAACAATAAACCTAGCCCGTGGCAGCCTTGTGAGCAGCAAATAGTGAGTAACAGAAGTAGAAATTCCCTTTGTATTACAAAAATGGATGTGACTTCAAATCACCAACCAAGTCCATGGTGATTGTAGTCCATATTCAAACAAGCACTTCTGCTGCTACTAACAACTTCCAGAACCTCTCTTAGACAACAACCTCCTTTTAGAATACTAACAGATTAGCTTGTGAAGCAGCTGAATATTATCAACACTATTTCATGGAATGAGAGTCATTAAAAGATAGATCAGAATTTTAATAGTTAATTAAAAGATAAATCAGAAAGTTTGATTATCCATTACAAAAACTATTGCTCATCTTGTTCCATATTCAGGTGTTTTCTAATTTAAATGTATCTCATGCTTTTAGACAGCAGTATATTCAATATTCAGTATGAATAGCAGTCTTTCAGAAGCAGAAGAATTTACTGTGGAATGGTGAATGCCAAAAGTAATACAAGGTCCAATAACTTGTCCAACTTACCTTCTCAGCACGATTTCTTTTGACCCAGTTGCAAAGCCCAGACAGCCCTCCTTGCAGATGCTTTGTGCTTCAACTTCACAGGGTGGCAAGTGGAAAGGGTTTTTTCTTTGTAACACAACTATTTGAAAATCTGCATGTTATGCAAATGAAGCCCCCACATGTAGTTAGTGTTTCATATGTTAAAGCTCTGAAAGGAAGTCTACTCTCGTTTAGCTAATATGGTTATTGTGGTTTCTCAAATCTCACCACATGTTAGTTTTCTGCCACCACTAATTAAGGAAAGAAAACATATTGAAAGATAAGGAAAACAAAACCAGCATCTGAGTTATTCCAAAATCCATGTTTCTTCTGGAATGACTCAGGGTGTTGTTTTTTTTAAATCCTAAAAGAAAGACAGCACACACCCCCCCCCACTGTTCCATCTTGCTTTAACGTTCATTCAGTTAAATTTAGATCAGTCTAATCTGATTCAAAAATCTAGCCACCAGCTGAGGTTCTATGTCTCCATCATTATTTCAGACTACAAAATGTAAATGATATATTTACATTTAGGTTGTTTATATTAGCCATTAATTTTTTTTTAACATTACCATCCTATATTGTCAATACATTTTTTTCTCACTACTTCTTTCAAACTTTCCTCCTTCTGTTTGCATCTGGCTTTTCACTCCCCGTCAAACACAGTTTTTCCGGTTTTGGTATTTCTGTATTTAGTTTTATTTTCTCCCTATTTCTCTCTCTTTCTTTGTTCAGCTATTCTAGATTTATTTTATTTCCATCTCTTGTTGTCTTCAAAATTTCTCTATAGCATTACATATTGTAGCACTACTCACTTACTTCCCCTTTGATCATTTGCTGTTCACATTTTCAGCCTCACTCCCACCTGATTCCGTCTACCCTCTTGTGTCAGACACCTCACACATTATGAGGTGTCAGGGACTGAAATAACATGATCCTAGCACTGACATCCCTCCCGCATTGACTGGCATCCATCGATGTTTTAATTACTTGATCACCTCTGTCAAACCGGTTAGAAAAGACAGAGGCCTTCTATGGGGTTTTTGCCACAGGATCAAACAGGGCTCAGGAAATTAAATGGACAAGGGTTGTAAACACAGCACTTGGGAAGGAGAGGGACTGCATAATAAGTGTTTAGCTCTCGCCCCTAGCCCAAGACATAAGATTACATTTGTTAAACCTCACAATCCATCAGTTTTCTTCCACCAGTGCACTTGATATTTAATTTGAAAATGGGGGGAGACTAAAAAAAAATGATGGGAAGCAGTTTTCTGGTCATGTGAAAAGGGTAAACATTCAGAAGTGATTTCTCCTCACACTGAACATAGAATTTCTGAAGGAGGACCACAGTCATACTCAGAGCACTCCTCTGCTTCACTTCAGCATCACTTCTTAGAACCAGCCAAGCTCAGAGCTGGCCTGGCTTCCAGAAAGAAGCATAAAGAGCAGTAAGTGTATCATCCTACTGATAATCATTGGCTTCAGAAAAGCCGGTTAAAAATAGTTTATTTCCTTGGAGAAAACGTTGATGAAAACAAAAGTTTTAAAACAAAACCAGTCAAATTTTTGATGGAAGCTTTTAGAGCAAAAATGACAGTTTAGAAAAAGCACCAAGATGCACAGGTTATTTATTTTTTTTATTCTCTTTTGTACTCTGAGCTTACCAATCAGACTATGTTTCCTAGCTTAGGCTAGAGAAAGTTGGCAATACGTGATGTCATTCCACGGTCTAAGGTCTCACAGAAGCCTAGACAGGAAAAGGATTGGAATTTGTAAGGAACAACAACGCCCATGAGACATTTAGGCAGAATTTTCTAATTAACAAATTTCAAATTTGCATCAAAGTGTTTCTGGGATACCTAAAGGCATTCTGAAGGAAAAAAGTGCTTTATTGAAATTATGCCTTCTTCCACTAGGAAACAACGTGAGCAGACCGCTTTCTATCAGTTATACTCCTTTAATTCAAGAACTTTTACCTGAATTATGTTGCATTTGGTCTGTTTCCTACTGTTGCCTTTCAGCTGCTTATCTTAAACAGATTTAAGAACCATTTCTAGTGAAAGCATCTCCCACGGTTATGTCATAAGTAACAAACTTTTATAGTGAAGAACGGAGTGATACAATCTCTGTATTGCCAAGGCGCAGCTGGAAGAAGATGCCAGGGACTTGTGATCTCACTTATCTACCTTCTCTGCCCACAAGAAACTCTTCTATGGACCAGAAAATATATGTTTGTTCCTGAAATCCCAAGGAAGAAGGTATACCATGAGTCACAGTTCCTTACTCTCCACCACCTGCATTATGCTCTTCTTTTACCAAAGAGACTGTTTTCATTGTAAATGTCCTTTCAGAGACCATGGAGGGGGAAAGTGGCTTCCTTCCTGTCTCTCCCCTGATCACCGGAGACTTACATATCAGAAGTACCTATTGCAACATTCTTTCATCCCATCTGGGCCAATGAATCCATGAAACCAAGTCCATGTTACTGCGATACTTCCATAAAACATCGTTATGACACCAAGCCTAACACAGCAGCCACTCTGAAAGGCTTAAAACCAGATTCTTGCTAAAGTGGATCTAATTCTTTTTTTAATGAAAGGCATCACTAAAAAGAATATTGCAAAATATTTCCAAATAACTGCTGCCTTCTGAAGTAAATTGTTCCACTGTAAGAAAGTTCTGCTGAATTGCCTGCCAATGTATGACTAATTTACATCATGCACTAGAGGAAAAGTGAGTTTCCGTATCAGAAATGCTGCAAACACAAGGCAAAGAAACAAGCAGAGTTAAATATGCAGTCGCTGACATAATTTCTGTGTTTGATGCTGTAGTCAGATCATACCCGTTGTGGTAATGTTTTTTTCTTGCTCTCTCAGTCGCTCAGTCTCTGTTTCGTATCTCATTGAAATAACTACCAAAGTAGTTTCTCAAGGCCAGTCATCAGTCTATACTCCCAAGCACTGACATTTCAACCTGAGTATGTTGAATTAATTGACCTGATTTCTTTTTAGAGTTGTACTTTCTTTATAAGACTGTTTTTACAAGAGATCCACACCATGGAATGCCCCAGTCACCTCTCTCTCCACAGCAGTGGCCTTCATGGCCTGAGTAAGAGCTAAAAGATAGAGTTTAGAAGGTGCTTGTATAACTAATGATGCAACTGATTCTTTGGTACAGACTTTTTAAGGCTTCTGGGATCCTGGCTTCCCCCCAAACCCACAAATGCTGAAATGAAAAAATGAAATTTGAAATTGTGTCTATACAACGTGCAGTCCTTGCGTTGGCTGGATACAGCTCAAAGACGCTTTCTTTCCTTCTGTCTGGTCCAAGATGCAGTGTGTGTGTGTTTCAGCTCACAGACTGTGATTTTCCCAGTTGTAAAGACAAATTGGAGGGATTGGCTGGACACCTCAATGAGACAATGAGTCCCTCATTGTATTTCTACACCATAGTGCAGGCTGCAACCACTAACCACAGCAATGATCTGAGGCAAGGTCATGGCCACCGAAACGAACAGAAACTCTCCCCAACCCCTCCCTTCAAGAAGAGAAGGATAAGAGAGAAAGAGGTTTATGAATTTAAAAGAAACTAAGTTACTTTAATGGAATATTAATAATAAATTAATGAAAAGGGAATGATACAAAAAAAGAAAATAATGAAATACATACAACGTATACAAAGCCAGTATCAAGCTCCCAGGATGACAATCCTGCACCTAGGAAGGAATAACCCCATACAGCGGTACAGATTAGGGGGTGACCTGCTGGAAGGAAGCTCTGCAGAGAGAGGGCTTGAAGTCCTGGTGGACAGCAAGCTGACCATGAGCCAGCAATGTACCTTTGTGGCCAAGAAGGCCAATGGTCTCTTGGGGTGCATTAAAAAGAGTGTGGCTAGCAGTTTGAAGGAGGTCATCCTCCCTGTCTACTCTGCCCTGGTAAGGCTTCATGTGGAGTACTGTGTTCCATCAGTCACAAGTCCATTTATGTGTTGCATCTGTTCCTTGATGACCTGAATTGTCATTGGGCTCACCAAGTTAAAAAGTTCACCTTTATGTTCCCAGTCCAAATCTGTCTGGAAAATCTTAGCAGCCTGGTCCACTTGTTGATGTTCTTCAGTGGCCCAACTCATGGGTACGTGGACATCTACATGATGTACCTTTAGAACCAGGTTCCCTAGTTGGTCAGCAATACCTTGCCACAATTCAGCAGCCCAGATGGGTTTACCTCTGCACTGCCATTTCCTCTGTTTCCACTGCTTTAACCAACTCCACAGAGCATTTGCCACTATCCATGAGTCAGTACAGAGATATTGTCCACTTTTCTCATTCAGCAGTGTCTAAGGCCAACTGGATGGCTTCTTCCTCTGCAAATTGACTCAATTCACCTTCTCCTTCAGCCACTTCTGTGATGTTTCATGTAGGACTCCACACAGCAGCTTTCTGCCTTTGATGCTTTCCTACAATATAACAAGATCCATCAGTGAACAGAACATACTGTTGGTATAGCAAGATCCATCAGTGAACAGAACATACTGTTTCTCATTGTCAACACCTCCTCTGGTGGCATTCTGGAATCTTTACCTTCGGGTCAGTTTGTGATCAATTCTACGATCCCTGGACAAGTGGGGTTTCCTACTCAAGCTCACTGTGTGATTAATGCAACCCACTTACTCCAGGTAGCATCGGTGGCATGATGAATAGAAGGAACTTTACCCCTGAACATCCACCCAAGTAGTGGTAACTAGGGCACCAGGAGGAGCTGTGCTTCAGTACTGAAGTACCAGAGCACTCCTGAAGCAGCTCTAACTCCCTCATATGCTGCCAAGATTTCTTTTTCAGTTGGGAGTACAGTTGGCCTCAGATCCTCTGTACCCAAGTCTCCAGAATCCTAGGAGTCGACCTTGAGTCTCCCCTGGTGCTTTCTGCTAGAGGCTCCAGGTAGGGCCTTAATTCTCAGCTGTGGTGTAGAGCACATTTTTAATGTCCTGTTCTGTTTGGACTGGTCCAAGGGCTACTTATGCAAAATCTTGATTAATTTGCTCAAAGGCTTGTCATTGTTCAGGGACCATGTGAAATCATTTTTCTTTTGAGTCACTTCATAGAGAGATCTCACAATCT